TGCTTGCTAGCCCGGTCAAGTAGGGAAAGCTGTTAAATGCGTATGCGTTTTTTTTATGTTATAGCCATAGGCACTTCTATGTGAAATTATTTAGTAGTGTGGACAGAAGCATCCTTAGAAATGTATGTGTGCACAAATGTACTTGTGATTATGATCCTTGTCTTGAGCTTTATTACTAAAATGTATTGGGGATATATACCACGGCTGACATCAAGTAGCTGACTAATCATGTCCATAAGTAATCAGAAATTAGTATTTTCTAATTACACATTTATATATATATATATATATATAATTTTTTTTTTTTTTGAGACGGAGTCTCGCTCTGTCGCCCAGGCTGGAGTGCAGTGCTGGATCTCAGCTCACTGCAAGCTCCGCCTCCCGGGTTTACGCCATTCTCCTGCCTCAGCCTCCCAAGTAGCTGGGACTACAGGTGCCTGACACCACGCCCGGCTAGTTTTTTCGTATTTTTTTAGTAGAGACGGGGTTTCACCATGTTAGCCAGGATAGTCTCGATCTCCTGACCTCGTGATCCGCCCGTCTTGGCCTCCCAAAGTGCTGGGATTACAGGCTTGAGCCACCGCGCCCAGCCTCACATTTATATTTTTAACATTTGTGTTAGGTGTCATTAGCCAAGGGAAATCCCCTCTGGTGAGTTCTGCACTTTTTTTTTAATCCCAAGTGCTATTTTTTTCACCCCTTCCTTCCATTTAATGTTTATTGAGCGCTTACCTATGTGCCAGGCACTATTTTATATTTTAGGCCCTGGGACATAATAGTAAATATAACAATCTTTGTTCTTTTAGAGATTACATTCTAATGTTTTATTATTTTCCTTCTATTGCTATGTGGTTGGAGTTTTTATTCGGGCAGGTTGATGAATTTTATAGAACTCTAGAAATTAAACCATCTTTTTATAAAACTAAATTTTAACAGGGAAATAAACAGTCATGTTAAAAGATGGAAATATGTAACTTTACTGATTACTGATAATATTGAGCAACACTTTGACATGTAAAGATACTATTCCTAACTCATTAGGGGAAGGGTAGCTTAGGTTGTGTGTACCTGGGATGAGTAGTGTTAGCAACTAACATGGCTCCCCCATCAACTTGCTGCCTTTGTCGTCTTTCTTTGACACCTGAAATGATGCCACAAAGTGATGCATAGCCCCTATTTTGACTCTTAACGTACATTCTAGTGACCCTTGAGGTTGAAGACACATTCCTCCAGAGTGTGGACAGAAGCATCCTTAGAAATGTATGTGTTTGTGCACAAATGGGAACAAATTGAAGAGTTAAAATCCATCTCTAGTGTCCCACTGAGCTCTGTGCCAAGGGAGGAGGAGCGTGCACAGATAAATAAAAATGGTCCTTCTCCCTGAGAATGTAGAGGGGAGGACAGACTTGTGTGTAAATACCACACTCATGGCAATGAGAAAAGCCATATTGATGGCATTATAGAGTCCCATGCTGTGTGGAGATGTGGACAGGGATGCAATTACTTCTGCCCAGAGGAGTTAGGAAAACCTACAGAAAGAAATTGGCATAGGAAGGTTTGTTTGTTTTTTTTTTTTGGATAAAGAGGAATTTGGATAAACAGTTGAAACGACTTTTCTACTCAGAAGATTATTTCAAGTAGAGATAAGTTGAAATAACTTGAGCAGAGGCATTGAAGAAATTGAAAATTGGAGGTATTTATTACAGTGTTACCAAATTTTAGTGATACTGAGATAAGAATGTTTTCACTTCTTTAAATTGGATTCTGGCTCTTCTTTTTGTCACACATGAGTTTAGTATAAATTGGTATTTGTGATCTCGGTGTACTTTTGTTCTTGTTTTATTAACTTTAATAATTATTTGAATATGGGGCAGGTTTGTTGCTGTTTTTAATTAAAGTGAGTGTTCCTAACTGTTTTAATTTTATTTTAGATTATAGCATTTGATGAGCTGAAGACTGATTACAAGAATCCTATAGACCAGTGTAATACCCTGAATCCCGTAAGTTATAATATAGGATTTATCTTTAGATTTTAAAAAATATATTTGTTTTTAACTTGATGTAATTTGAAAATGGCCAGTATTCTGAGTAGCATAATATATTTGTACTTTTTGAAGTAGGCAGAAGTTAAAAAATCTTTTTCCTGTCATGCTTGACTATTCTATTATTAATCTGCTGGTGGTCTTGTCAGCTGTCATACTAACATTCTTCCAATCTGCTTTTTACATTGTCGGCCAAAGACAGTTGAAAAGGTCAAAAAGATTAAAAGAGTCAAAATTGCATTAAAGGTGTGTACTGCTTTTTAGTTTAATGTTTTAATGCTATATTCATTTCATGGGGAGGGTTAGGGCATTTGTATTTGTAATGTTTTGTTCAGTGTGCTCGTTCATATGCCTGTTGAGGTTTATGATTTCATGAAATTTCATATTTTATGCAAATATATGCTTGCTAGCCCGGTCAAGTAGGGAAAGCTGTTAAATGCGTATGCGTTTTTTTTATGTTATAGCCATAGGCACTTCTATGTGAAATTATTTAGTGCAGTACTTGAAAGTTGGTTAACATAAAATGACTAATAGATGGTGAGATGATTCTCGGATTGTGACTTATGGTGAGGTAGTATGTGAGTGAAATCTTTAGTATGGACTTCTGCCATATCTAGTTTGCCTTTGGTTTGCATATTCTGGAATAAATGAGTCATTCTTTCAGCTGATGTTTATTCAGAGCCTGTTAGGTGGATACCTCTGTTCTGGGGGCTCTGGGATCTCACAGTAATGCCATTCTTTGGACTTAAGGTGCCATAATTTTGTAGATAACAATTTGTATACAAATGTCTACGTAGTTATTTCTAGTGTGTATTTACTTTCTATTTCTGAAACAGGCCTGAAGTTCTGAGCCATCATGAATTTAGTGCTAATGTAGCTCCATTGTGCTTGGGGTGTTTGAAAAAATATGTATGTATGTATTTAAAATTTTCTTTTGAGATGGTGGGGGGGATCTCTCTATATTGCCCAGGCTCATATCAAACTCCTGGGTCAAGTGATCCTCCTGCCTCAACTTCCTGGGTAGCTGGGATTACAGGCACACACCAAGGTACCCAGCTTGTTTTTTGTATTTTTGAATGCATTTAGGAAGATTCTCCTTTAGCCTGTGTATTTGATTATGCCTGATTGGTCAGGAATTGAATGGTTGGTTGTTTATAAGAAAGCCATCGGTATGTCTTCAAGAAATAAAATACAGTAATTCAGCTTTAAAAATTACTTAACGAAGGGGAGAGTTTGTGTAGATTTTAGTTGTCTAGCATACTAGTGTACTAGCACTAGTGTGCTAGAGGGATTTTATTTGGAAAAGCATCTAGAAAGTAGTTTGGTACTTTATTATTGTTTCCTAGATAACTGTGGATGGTGGAAGAGATTTCTAGTTTGTCTTTAGAGAACTGTTACAGTAAGAGTTGATGTAGGTACAATTAAAAGTATTAACTTATTAGCTGTTTCTTTGCTGTTATGAAACAAGATATGAGTAGATGAATTTGCCTTCTGTTGGAAAGTAGTGTTAATTGTAAAACATTTTAACCTAAGTAGTTGAAGTTGTTACCAGGAAATGAAGAAACTGAAATTTCCCCTTTTGATAGCTGTTTATTAATAGTGTTCTATGCTGTTTGTCTTTTCATTACTTCGAATAACCAAATGATGATGAAGGTAAAAATATCTGAAATCAGATGAGGATTTTCCTGGGTGCTAGGCTCTGTGCTAAGCACTTTGCCTGAATTTTTAAATTTAATTCTTATGACATTCCTGAGGTAGGTATATTGTTATCTCATGAATAGGAGAGTAAACTGAAGCTTTGCCAGGTTAAAGCACTTTGCCGAAGGTTATACAGCTAAGATAGAGTCAGCATTTGAACTCAAGACAGCCTAATTTTTGAAGCTCAAACTCTTGTATTTTCCTAATGTATTGTAAATTTAGGAGGGACTGGTTTCATTTTAACAGGTAATGTGCGATTCCTGGCTTTTCTTAATGGAAAGAAATTCTCACTGAGAAGAGACATGTGCTTGGGACATCCTAATGCTGCAGGAGGTTGAAGGCCATTTTTATAGCAGCACAGGTTGCCTTTTGGATAGGGTGCCGATAATTGGCTGAATAGCAGTGCATCTGACAGTTTTCCCTATTTAAATTTGTTTTGACAGTTCTGCCAAAGTATGGGGGAAGACAAATATCACCATTTTTTAAATTGTGAACTTTAACAAGAGAATATTATGTTTTGCATGTTTAAATACTATCATTTCAGCTATATTTGCATGAGGTATTTTTTCTGGATACTAGTTTCTGTTTGAACCTTGGTTCCTAAATGGAATAATTTTTGTGTCACTTAAGGGGAAATTTTGTCATTAAAGAATGCTCGGAGAGGGTTGGTTTTTAAGAGAGATGGGTAGTAAATGTTTCTGGACTCCTTTTGAGGAGAAGGGAGGGAATAACATTTGTTTCATATTAGAACTGGTAGAGTTGTAGGTTATCTTTATTAACACTTTTTATTAAAGTATATTAAGAGCGGGAGGGGGTCATGCTTTCTTCAAAATCATTCTTTCCATACTTCAGTCTATAAGTGTAGGGTAAAACCTTGCATGATGATTTGCCTGTTAGATATCAGTTGGCTTTTTAGGGCTGAAATAGGCTTATTATATTTTAGAGACAACATCTGTAATTTAAACAAGTATTACAAAAGCAACTGTAGTGGAATTCTTAATAAAATGTATGTTTTTCATGGTTTGTTCTGGTTATAGTCCTTGAGTTTCGGAGTCCTATAGCCATTTTCTTGTTTAGAGAACTTTGATCTTAAATAGATGCTGGCTTAAATGTTATTTAGAAGTTTATGTACATATGCAGAGTTTATCTTTTATTATAATGTTTAAGTTTGTAGAAAGTATTTGGTTAGTGGTATAGATTAGTTGTTTACCTGGATTTTATCTAAAATAGTATTCATTTAAAAGCCCCTTCTACAGCTTTAAATTGGAGAGAGTAATTTGGGAGTATGAGAAAATGGGCCGGAGTATATAGTATGATTACAATCTCTACAGCCATGGTTTCCCCTCAGGAGTGAGCTGATGATGATAAGTATTCACATGATTTCCATTTGGTATGAAGTAAACATTTGAGAAACTGGCTTTGTAGCTGTGACTTATAGGAGATACTTTGGCTGAAACTTGCAATGAGAGGTGTTGGTATTTTTATTTCACAACGTTCTCAGGCTGAAATCTTTAGGATGGGAAAGATAATTTAAAATAAAGCATTAACTCATGGTCATTTTATAAAAAGCATTTTGCTTGATTAATTTTTCTTCACTTAATACTACCTACTACCAAAAGGTTTATTTTGTTTTTGGGTTATGAGCTTCTACTGGTCTTCTGTTGTGTCTTACCTTTTTGTTGGCAAGCAGGCGTAAAGAAACGGAAAGGCCACCTAAGAATAAGAACTTGGGAACCTGGAAAATCCTAATTTCATGGTTAAGAACTCAGTCTTTTCCCTCCTACATTGCAGAAAGCAAATCTTTTACATTTGTGCATATTAGTGTTCTTCCCCCCACTGTGCTGAGATTATTGGCTGATTGGCTTTCCATTAAAAAATTACTTCTGTGGGAATGCGATGTGGTTTGCTAAATATTGTGTATGTAGCATTTCTGGTTTCTGTTAAAGGCTTAAAAACACCGATGTGTAAAATTCTAAAGGGGAGTTTTGTTTCTGTGGAACTTTTAATATGTTGCATGTGATCAGATATCTCATTTTTGTACTTCTATCATTGTTGAATGGTGGAAAGAAAAAGTATTCTAGTTGACTAGCAAATTGTTTAACAGTCTGGGTGGTAACTTTGTATAATTTGATCTATTAGTCTAAGAATTTGAGCTTTAAATTTTAAGTCATGTATCTTACTATGTCACGTTAGTGCAAGCTATATACTCTGGTCAGTTTGCCTGTAATCCTACTTTTGGTAAAAAGTTAAACATGGAAATAAAACTCAGTAGCATCTTTTATTTCTGAGTCTAAGAAAACAGTGATTTTTCATTATGGAAACTTGGTTGCCACCTGCTTTCCAGATTAGCAGTTGACTTAATGCCGAGGCATTTTGATCACTGGCCTGTGTTTTCCTTCCAGCTTGTACTCCCAGAGTACCTCATCCACGCTTTCTTCTGTGTCATGTTTCTCTGTGCAGCGGAGTGGCTTACACTGGGCCTCAACATGCCCCTCTTGGCATATCATATTTGGAGGTAATATTTAGATACACTTTTAATTTTTTAAAATGAAAACTTAAATATACTGCGGTTGATATGGTTATCTCACATGCTAGTTACCTACATAAAAATGGAAGCTTAGTTGGCATTTATTTTTTAAAAAATCAAGTGGATGAACAAAAACTGTTTCAATACCTCTTACAGAGCTTTATTTTTAAAGGATTTTTTTTTAAAAAAGTGAAGTATAACTTAGTGTTTTGCACAAGTCTGAAGTATATAGCTCAATGAATTTTTACATATGTATACACCTGTTAAACCACCACCCAGATCAAGATACACAACAGTTGTGGCCTCCAGAGCATGCACTTGTGTCCCATCTTAGTCAGTTACCCTCCACACCTCCCCAGACCACTGACCTCTATCAACTTAGATTAGCTTTGCTTGTCCTTGAACTGCAGATAAGTCAAAATGTACAGTGTATGTCGAATTTCTTTCTGTGTTTATGACTAACTTAGGTTATTTGTAAAAGGTAATATTTTTAACTTCCATAGTTGTATCTGCAATATATAGAGTTAGAAGTTTTTGTTTTAAATAGGCATGTCAAAACCTTATTGCCCTTGATTTTAGGAGATATATACTGAAGAAATATTTAGGAGTAAAGTGGTATCAGGTCTACAATGGACTCTGAAATGATTCAGAAAAAAATATACTTGGCCGGGTGCAGTGGCGTACACCTGTAATCCCAGCACTTTGGGAGGCCGAGGTGGGTGGATCCACGAAGTCAGGAGTTCGAGACCAGCCTGGCCAAGATGGTGAAACCCTGTCTCTACTAAAAATACAAAAATTAACCAGTCATGGTGGCGGGCGCCTGTAATCCCAGCTACTTCGGAGGCTGAGGCAGAGAATTGCTTCAGGCTAGGAGGTGGAGTTTGCAAGATCGTGCCAGTGCACTGCAGCCTGGGCAACAGAGCGAGACTCCATCTCAAAAAAAAAAAAAAAAAAAGAAAAAATTTACTCAGGGCCAGGTGCAATGGCTCATCCTTGCAATCCCAGCACTTTGAGAGACTGAGGCAGGTGGATCACTTGAGCCTAGGAGTTGGAGAACAGACTGGGCAACATGGCAAAATCCCCTCTCTACAAAAAATACAAAAAAATTAGCTAAGCATGGTGGTGTGTGCCTGTAGTCCCCGCTACTTGGGAGGCTTGAGGCAGAAGGATTGCTTGAGCCCAGGAGTCTGAGATTGTGGTGAGCCGAGATTGTACCACTGTATTCCAGCCTGGGTGACAGGGTAAGACGCTGTCTCAAAACAAAACAAAAAAACAATACTCAGAATGAGAAAGAGAAGGATAAAGCAAATATAGTAAAAATGGACATTTGAAATATCTGGGTGAAAGGTTCTTACATCTTTTCTGTAAATCTAAAATTATGTCCAGATAAGTAAAAGCAAAACACCTATTTTCTTTTTACAGTTCTTCCTGTTTTTCTTGGATTTCTGAAAAGGTAGAGACTAGATGAAGCTTGTTTAGCTATCTCATTCTGCTCATTAGGGACTCTACTTTTAAAATTAAGATGGTAAAAGAAAAGCATTTTACCCATAAGTAAAAGAATGCTTCCCTGTGTGGACCACCTTTCGTAACAGATGTTTTAGAAGACAGACCCGCTTTCTTATCTGAACGTTTGCTGCCCTTTCTGAATGCCTAATAGACCGTGTTTATTCCAGGTATATGAGTAGACCAGTGATGAGTGGCCCAGGACTCTATGACCCTACAACCATCATGAATGCAGATATTCTAGCATATTGTCAGAAGGAAGGATGGTGCAAATTAGCTTTTTATCTTCTAGCATTTTTTTACTACCTATACGGGTAAGTTGAAAAGGTAAAATGAAATATGCTTTCAATTTGCTCTTTTAAAAGTTTGCAGGCATTATGGTTTTCACACCTTAAAATCCATTCGAAGAATAACTTAGTGTCTTAAGTGTGCATGGTGCACACCAGCAAATTCTCACACACTCAATGTGACCCACACTGGTGCTTATCAAGGCAGTAAACCAGTCTGCTGTCAGAGGCAGAAGGTTTGGTCAGGGATGCTGCTTCCTAAGTTCTCAGACACATTCAGTTGGTAAAGGATGGTCCTCATTCTCTGTGGCAAAGTGATGTCATTGAAGGATAGGGATGTGTGAGTTTGCAGGTTTCTGCTTGTCTTCAGGGTCTCTCCCGATATTATGTTTCATTTTTTCTTTATCATTCTTCATAAGTGGTGTGCTCTGCCCTTTATTTTCTGATTTGCTTGATTTGAGTGGTATGAATGAAATAAGTAGTTCTACCTTACAGGGTGGTGCAGTTTCTGATTTTTTTCCTTTTTGTTTTGAGACGGAGTCTCTGTCGCTCAGGCTGGAGTGCAGTGGCATGATCTCTGCTCACTGCACCCTCCGCCCCACCAGGTTCAAGCAATTTCCCTGCCTCAGCCTCCTGAGTAGCTGGGATTACAGGCGTGTACCACCACCCCTGGCTCATTTTTGTATTTTTAGTAGAGAAGGAGTTTCACCATGTTGGCCAGGCTGGTCTTAAACTCCTGACCTCAGGTGATCTGCCCACCTTGGCTTCCCAAAGTACTGGGATTACAGGCATAAGCCATCGCGCCCGGCCTGATTTTTTTTCCTTTTATACTCTGATGGACTCATTGTTCCTCTAGGTCAGGATTTCTCAACTTTGGCACTGTTGACAGTCTGGGCTGTGTGGGAATTTCTGTGGGAAGCTGTCCTGTATATTGTAGGACGTTTAGCAGCATCCCTGGCCTTTACCCACTAGATGCCATTAGTGCCCTCCTGCCCCCCGATGACAACCAAAAATGTCTCTGGACATTGCCCAGATGTCCCGAGGGGCAAAATTGCCCTGGTTGAGAACCCCTGCTGTAGGTGTGTTGTAGGTGCGGTGAAATGACTGCTTATTACAACTAGAAAAGGGCACTGTTAAATGTAGAATTATATGTTTCTTTAAGCCATGTGAATATGCTTTTACACATCACTTATATAAAATACTTTCTCGTTTTTTATCAATACATATTCAACTAGAGAGGGCTTTCTCCTTGATTTTCAGAATATTTCCAAAAGAGCTGTAAGCTTTAAAAAAACAGCATAAGGTTCCATTCTCTTTTTCGTTACTTGAAAACTTGCTAAGATAGGCTTATATTCATATTCATATTTCTCTTTATACATAAGTTTCCATCACAGAAAAAGAATGGTTAGACTGAAATTTAGGAAAAAGATATTTTTGGTATTTTTATGCTTTTAGAGGCTATTACTGTGAAAATGAATATCCTTTAGTGCATATGCAGATATTACTCATGTATGAAACAAAGAAATGCTCTGAAAAGTGAAATTCTATGTGTCATTTTAATTTCCTGTTAATTTTCATTTTGTAAGTTTCCATAGCAAATGTCTGGAACAGGGCTGGCATATAATAGGCACTTCAAACATACATGTTGAATGAAAGAAATGAAATGAATGATTGAATAAATGATAAAGTTGGAGATGTGCAGTTGTGGGAAAATGTTCACCGGGATATGGTAGCACCAGGACATTTGTTCTGTTTTAAAGTTGTCTATCAAGCTTGTTCAACTCCTTTGTATTTCTGTTTAGAGATACATGCTTTTTGGACCATGCCCCTATGCCTTTCCCCTATCACTCTATGTAGAATTGCCCTTGGCAGTTCTTAAACCTAAATCAAAAGGTCATTGCCTTTTATTTTGCTGTTTTCCCCCCTTTTCTTTTTTAACTGCTTCCTAAAAGTTGCTATTGCTTGGAGCCTTTCTCTAATGGGAAAGATCCTTGATTGATCATTCCTTTCTATACAATGGGAATGCAACTGGTACCTGCCTTCTAGGACTGCTTGGAGGATTAAGCGAGGTAATGTGTATGAAAGACCTAACGGCCAAGTGTGAAGTGAGCCCTCCAGAGATGCTCATTCTATTATTAGACACGACTCCAGAGCGTGTGGTGTTTGGATGGCTTCACTAAGCTCTGATCCCCCATTAAGCTTTCAGCTGTGCTGTTCTACTTGCTAAAATTGGAAAGGGAATAGGGGACAACTACACCACATGCACTGAGCCAAGTCCTATGTTAGGCAAAAGTCCATAAATGCAAATTAAAATCACTGTGAACTTGTCATTAGTCTTTTCATTTTCTGTGATACTAGTTTGCTATATAAAGCATACTCTCTCATGCTCTTGAGTTTTTTTTTTATAATTAGGAATGTTCAAATTAACAGCTTTTTTCTTCTTTTCAGCATGATCTATGTTTTGGTGAGCTCTTAGAACAACACACAGAAGAATTGGTCCAGTTAAGTGCATGCAAAAAGCCACCAAATGAAGGGATTCTATCCAGCAAGATCCTGTCCAAGAGTAGCCTGTGGAATCTGATCAGTTACTTTAAAAAATGACTCCTTATTTTTAAATGTTTCCACATTTTTTGCTTGTGGAAAGACTGTTTTCATATGTTATACTTGGATAAAGAATTTAAATGGAATTACGTATAAATTAATATAAAATGATTACCTCTGGTGTTGACAGGTTTGAACTTGCACTTCTTAAGGAACAGCCATAATCCTCTGAATGATGCATTAATTACTGACTGTCCTAGTACATTGGAAGCTTTTGTTCATAGGAACTTGTAGGGCTCATTTTGGTTTCACTGAAACAGTATCTAATTATAAATTAGCTGTAGATAGATATCAGGTGCTTCTGATGAACTGAAAATGTGTATCTGACTAGTGGGAAACTTCATGGGTTTCCTTATCTGTCATGTAGATGATTATATACGGATCCATTTACAAAAATAAAAAGCGGGAATTTTCCCTTCGACTTGAATATTATCCCTGTATATTGCATGAATGAGAGATTTCCCATATTTCCATTGGAGTAATAAATATACTTGCTTTAATTCTTAAGCATAAGTAAACATGATATAAAAATATATGCTGAATTACTTGTGAAGAATGCATTTAAAGCTATTTTAAATGTGTTTTTATTTGTAAGACATTACTTATTAAGAAATTGGTTATTCTTACTGTTCTAATCTGGTGGTAAAGGTATTCTTAAGAATTTGCAGGTACTTAAGATTTTCAAAACTGAACGAGAGAAAATTGTATAACCATCCTGCTGTTCCTTTAGTGCAATACAATAAAACTCTGAAATTAAGACTCACTTTCAGTGCATTGTTTGAGATTACAAATAGTATTTCTTAAACTTGCTTAATCCATAATAAAGACATGTTGCTGTCATTTTTTTAAAAGTGAAGTACTATGTTATGTTTTTTTCTGAAAAATACCATGCCTAGATCTAAAAAGGACAATTTTTAAATGCCAAGCGCATCAACCTCTTGTCATTTGACAAGATTCATAAATGTGGATGGCATAGCATCATCATTTCTCTTACCAATTAAGAAAAATTATGGTGGCACTTAAAATATTTTACTTTTATTTTTCCTTTTTGGAACAGTCAGTTTTAAGGTTAAATGGCTTGCAAATTTGAGTTTTTGCCGCTGCTTGTAAGGCAGGTAAATTATGGCTTGCATGTTTTCATAAGCATAAATAAATCTTGTGCTTTATTTGGGATGAGGAAGTTAAGGCATTTGAAAATAAAATAAGTGGTTCGGAAGTTTCTTGAGAAGAGGATCAAAAGAAATAGAACCAATGTATAGAAATTTCACATAATGATCCAGGAAGTCTATGGATGTGTTTGTGGAAATCTTACTCTAATAACTTGTTGGATTAGATGCTGTTTTATTCTCTACTAGTGAAAAATGCTTTATTTCAGTGGTTTCCCATGGTTGGGAGAGAGAGTAGCTGTTAACTGTTCTGGGTAATGGCGGTGAGTATGTTGAGGAAGAGAGGTAGAACCAGAAGAGTGAGGAGACTCGAACCATTCCATGACAAGGAAAGCTTTAAAGACCTGGTATTTTACTGTCTGGAGAACTAGAGGGATCTGACTCTTCGTCAGTTCATGCAACAAATTATTTATTGAGTACTTGCTGGGCTCTCAAGATTCATGCTTCGAGCACAGGCAGTCATTCAGTTTCCAGTCCACCTGATTAGATCAGCATGCACTTATTTTTCTTTCTTGTTCATAAGGACTTTTGATCATGCAAGACCTGGCCAAGTCTATAATCCAGATGGGTTTCCTGGGGCTATTACTTGAGTATTCCTGTCAAAATATTTTCATGAACCCTGCCTCTCTTAGCAAACACTACTTTCCTTCGTAAGTGTTAACAAACATGCTTTTAATAATCTATTCCAGAATATTCTCCAGGAGTAAGTTTACTGGTTGGAATTTGTGGAAGCCACTTTCTCATGTTTCCCAAATAAGATACGTAGTCCTCAGCTGATTCCTCAGAGATGATTGACAGTGAGTTTCATCCATCTTTGTGGTAGTTTGTTAGTTCCTAGGCATGTAAGTGATTAGAATATTGAGTACCTGTTCTCCTAATATCTACCCACTTTTACCATGTCAGTGTTTTTTGAATTAGATCACTTACCAAGAGAAAGCAGAAACAAAATACTTGAGCCTGACAATATCTGACTGCCTCTTTTCATTGCTCTGGATTTATTTTCCACATCAATCTCTTTGGGGTGGCCCTAGCCTATTATTCATGTGGGTTCAGCTGAGGCTTGGTTAACCTGGATTTACAATCCAGTTTAAGTTAAACATTCCCTGTTTAGCAACAGCTGTTCACTTAGGTACTCTTTTTTTAACCTTATTATAGTTACTTTTGGTATTATGTGCTTTATCTTTAAAAGCTTTCTAGCTCTAGGAAATTGTTTTCCCCATTTGTGTCTATCTGTGGTTATATCTATACCAACAACTTTTTGTTGCTATGGATACCACAGATTGTCCTGAATTAAAACTCTAACATAATAAATGTCTGTTTAGCAGTTACTTTACTGAGTAATAATACTACATCATGGCAATATGGCCCTTTAATACTAAGGAGGTTTAGGGGTAGAAATTATTTGAACACTCATATCCAAATGTTATTAATGATATTTGACAGTTTTCTCAATGCTTAATGATATTCCTCACTCCCCATTCCAGGGTAGAGGAGGGTTTGGTCCCAGGCTATGGACAAACTGCTAATTTGTTTGAAGTTTGAATTATTTTTCATGGGAAAGGGAAGTGACAGGAAATGACCAAGACTATCCACTTTTGACTTGAGTATGGGTCCAGTATTAGTAATGGTTTCCTAGGCTCACTGATTGTACCACGAACTGACAGACCTACCAGTCAATTTCATGTACCCAGATAAGGGTCTCACATGGCAACAAAGTACACAGCAGTTTGCAGTATGTGTCTTTTTTAAAGTCAGTTCTGTGTGTTCACCTTGACTACCACTCCTGCTGACAGCTCTCATAGAGCTCTTCTCTGCTCCCCAAATCAGTATATTTTGAAGCTATGTCAAATATTTACATATAAAGGAAATAAAGTTGTATGTGCTTTGAAACCAGCAAAATATTTTCCTTTGTACAGCACCTCTCTTTTCCTTCTATGTTTATGAATAGAGTTTGTGGAATATTGCCATGGTGTAAGTAATGACTTCTGTGTGTCTCTTATACCCTGTGGGGGTGAGCTTTCACTTTAGGTGTGGTTATATCCTAGCAGTGTATCAAGCCCACTCAAATAATGATCTATGTTTAAAAGTATGTGTCTAGTTTACTTATTTATGTCATTTAACATCCATAAATGTGCATCTCTCAATCAGCTGTATGATTGTAAATCAAATTTTGATGGCAAAAATATTCTAAAACAACATTCTTTAGGGGAAAGAAAAATATGGATATCTTATCTAGCATTGCTCATAAAAGTACTCATGTTCATCCTTTTTGGAAACTTAATCATGCTAGCCTTAGATCATTTTAAGCTCCTTTGCTCAAATCAGTCATTGATCTGCAGTATGATCAGCAGCTAGTAAGTCTGTGGTACTACCAGGATAGCTTAGAAGATGGTTCTGAATTAATACCTCAGAATGATGTCAAAAGTAAAAGAGTGGCTCTATTGCTAAATATATTGACTAGCTTTTTTATAACAATCTTACTTTGAAATTCAGAGTTCTAAAGCTAAATGTCTAAAAGAAGTAACTGCAGACTGTTCTGCTGGTGTTGGAAAATAGTATTCACCATGTAAGATCTTTGGGGTTGGAGTGAAGGTCTTATCTGCATTAATTTTGTTAATGCACATTGTAGAAGATGTAGAGAACATCTTGACATGCATAAGAATTGCATGTCATAATTTTATTGTGTAGTGCTTTTCTAAGTATTTACATTTCTTTGGTTACCATGTTCATGTATTCTGGAGAAGTAAAATTTCTTGATTACTAGGCAGACCCTAAAACTACTAAGAGAAACATAAAATGTAGTTAGCTGTCTCTGCTCATGGTTTGTTAATATCTAAGCTAACCTTAATGGTGCTGTACCCGCTGTCCACAGAAAATGCCCTTAAGTATAGCCCTACCTTACTCCTTAGAGCTTATTTTGCTTTTGTATTTAATAAAAATTGTCTTAAATGTTTCCTTGTGTAGTTTATGCATAATGGCTGAGTCTGTGTGTTAATTTCAAATGCCGCTAGTTTGTGTATGACCAGGACTCTGATTCTCTCTCCGCCCTCTTTGCTCATTGTTTTGGGGACTATCCTACAGGTGAGGTAGAGAAAATACTTTTCCCTGGAATACTGGAATATTTAACTGGACAATTATATTTTAGTAATTGACATCTCATGTTTCTCTGTTATAGAATAGTTGATGTTTTCCCTTATAGTTAGTATTAAAGTAGTTTAGTCAAGCATTTTTTAAAATTTTTTGATTTTTGTTTGAGACAGGGTCTCACTGTTGTCCAGGCTAGAGTGCAGTGGTGTTATCATGGCTCACTGTAGCCTCTACCTCTCTGGGCTCAAGTGATCCTCCCACCTTAGCCTCCCAAGTAGCTGGGACCACAGATGCATACCACCATACCTGGTTAATTTTTGTACTTTTAGTAGAGACAGGGTTTCATCATGTTGCCTAGGCTGCTCTCGAACTCCTGAGGTCAAGCGATTTGCCTGCCTCAGCCTCCCATAAGTGCTGGGATTACAGACATGAGCCACTGTGCCTGGTCTACTGAAGCTTTGTAAATGTAGAGGCTTAAATAGCCCTTGCCGTGGGAATTGGGAGATGCAAATACTCTGAAAATTCAGTTGATTATTAAAGTATTTGATTAATCCATGCCAATATTTTCTCTCCATTTTCCTAAGTATTCATGAATAAGCTATGTACTTTTGTTGAGAGAATGATAATATATATGCTTCTCAATTTACAATGGAATTATCTCTGGACATCGTAAGTTGAAAATGTAAGTCACAAATGCATTTACTACACCTAAACTATCAAGCATCATAGCTTAGCCACCTTAAACATAGTCATAACATTTACGTCAGCCTACAGTTGGGCAAAATGACCTAACACAAAGCCAATATAATAATGTGTTGAATGTCTCAAACATTGTACTGTACTGAAAGTGAAAACAGAATGGTTGTATGAATACTTGAACTACAGTTTCTACTGAATACATATATCTTTCACGTGATTGTAAGGTTGAGAAATCCTAAGTTGAACCATTGTAGATTGGGGACTGTCGGTAAAAGATTGGCTAATGTAAATATCAATGACTATCTAAAGTTTAATAGAAATTGTGATTTTTAAATTGTATATGGTTATAATACAAAAATCATGAAGAAGGCCAATCTATTACAGCGTGTACTTAAAAAAAATGCCTTTCTTGGGCCGGGCACGGGGGCCCACGCCTGTAATCCCAGCACTTTGGGAGGCCGGGGCGGGCAGATCAGGAGGTCAGGAGATTGAGACCATCCTGGCTAACACAGTGAAACCCCACCTCTACTAAAAATACAAAAAAAAAATTAGCCGGGCGTGGTGGCGGGTGCCTGTAGTCCCAGCTACTTGGGAGAGGCAGGAAAATTGCCTGAACCCTAGAGGCGGCGGTTGCAGTGAGCCGAGATTGCACCACTGCACTCCAGGCTGGGCGACAGAGTGAGACTCCGTCTCAAAAAAAAAACCTTTCTTGCTATATAACTTTTGGTATTAATTATATGAGAAAATGAAATCCCTAGGTTAACCATTTAGATCCTGCTGGGATATGCGATCCTCCTACCTTCCTGAGTATTCTCATAAAATGTTAAGTTCTAGAAGCAGCGTATGTATAAAAGTACAGTCGGTCGTCTGTATCTATGGGTTCTAAATCCGCTGACTCAACTGCAGATTAAAAATATTTGAAAAATAAAAAATACTACAAATAAAACCAATACAGTATAATAACTACACATCATTTACATTATTTAGGTATTATAAGTAACTGGAGATGATTTAAAGTATACAAATACTATGCCATTTTCTATCAGGGACTTGAGCATCCATGGATTTTGCTGTTGGGGGTGGGGTGGGGGGTCCAATCCTCTGAGGATACCGAGGGATGACTATATTAATATATTGATTTTATATTACAATACATACTAGTGCTCTGAAATTTCCAAACAGGGCTGGTAATTGTTTTGCAGTATTTTGTAATGAAATTCAAGCAGTTCATCTGCAGCAAGAAGAGTAGTGTGAGACAAAATAAGACCTTTAGTCATTGTATGATTTTTTTTTTTTTTTGAGATGGAGTCTTGCTCTGTCGCCCAGGCTGGAGTGCAGTGGTGTGATCTCGGCTGACTGCAACCTCTGCGCCCCACCCCCGCCTGCCCCGGGTTCAAGTGATTTTCCTGCTTCAGCCTCCCCAGTAGCTGGGATTACAGGCGTGCACCACCATGCCTGGCTAATTTTTGTATTTTTAGTAGAGATGGGGTTTTGTCTTGTTGGCCAGGCTGGTCTCAAATCCCTGACCTCAAGCGATTCGCTCACCTCAGTCTCCCAAAGTGCTGGGATTACAGGCGTGAGCCACCACGCCCAGCCGGTCATTGAATAATTATTTAAAAATGAAATTTTGATGTGGTGAAACTTTGTCTTTTGTGGAAGTGCCTATGAGTCTGCAACCTGGTGGTCATTGCCAAATGGCCATGGGTTCACGCTTCTAATTACCAGTAGCCAAGAGAGCCATGTGACTACTGTAAGCCCTACTGAAACCACTGACTGACTGTTCAAACAGGTGTGTCTGTTTGACACATTGTGTGTGACCCTTGTCTACAGCCCAAATGACTGTTTTGGGTAACTCAAAGTTGAATTTAAAGATGAAAAAAGCTGTTTAATAGTATAGGGGGAAGTGAAGGAGTGAGAGAGTTGGAAATTGTTAATCTGTAGCTAAGTTCTTTATGAAATAAATGGGAAAGGATTAATCTCATTCCATATAGTTCCTAGGGTGGAAAAAAAGTGGAGTGGCCGTTTGAACCAGTGAATTCCTCATCTCTGAAAATGCTCCTGCAGACAGTGAATAAACAAACACTCTTGGGGCTGATCCAGTACTGGGAGGGGGCGACTGGAAGACTCACAGGATCCTTTTCAATGCTGTAGGTCTATGAAGTAAAAAGCAGAAGTTTTGGGAGGAATAGAGAGGGAGGGGGACATTATTTAAAAGTAAGTTTGGGCACTCATACCAATTTTCTTACTTATTACTTTGTCATATGCTACCCAGTGGTTACAAACAGTAAAATGAAGTAAAAATGAAGTACTAAGTATTAAAAATAGGCAGTCAAATATTTTTCCATATGTACGTTTTCAGCATGACCTCCAGGTAAAGTACACCAGAACAACCAGTTCATTTCTAAAAGGAAAATTGCATACCAATTTTCCTATCCCAATTTTCCTGTTCCTATAAGAAATGAAAGACACAATGAGTTTTGTCAATAAAACTTTAGGAATATCTGCACATGTACATTTACATTCAAGTTGATAACACTAGTGGTTTCATTTCAATGCAAATGATGCTAGAGAACTCTGACATTTCAGACACGGTCATATAAATGCTATTTGAAATTCTTTATCTTGATACAGATCTTGATTGTGAATCTCTTGATGATTGATGTGCAGCTAATTTGTCCCGAAACTCATGAAGATAATTGTATTGCTGAAAAAAGTAAAGATACATTGGAATACACTGTGGAAAACTAGTTATCAGTGTGGGCACAATACTAGCAGGTATCAGGAATAAAAAATACTTGCTAAGCACAATTCTATATCTTTTTGGGTAAGGAAGCATTTGTATGGTGGGGAAGTTTTATCTTTTAGTAAAGCCATATACTAGTGTGAAAAACTATTGTTCTACAAGTCTCTAAAAATCAGAAGGTGAAATGAAATGTAGATGGATATAAGTCTAAAATCCTTTCTCTCTTTACTTACAGGACCAAATAAGATTTTAAAAATACATAATGACATTATTTTTGCTAACGTTTTCCCCCCCTGGTAAGTAAGGGCAGAGCACTTTCTATAGCAAGTGACTGGTATATGTAAGAAAACCCATTTCTTAATTTATAGAAGCCCTAGTCTTCTGCTTTTTGTGATGACATAATCCACTAGGAATAATTTTCATAGACAATATTTTTTAAAAACAAACTATCACTAATCTTAGCAGATAAGCAAAATAAAAGCTTTAAATAATTTATTTGGGGTTTTAATAGCTTCCCAGAAGATATTCTTACTCTGCCAATCATCTCATTTCATACCCTTATTGAGAAGAGGAAACTGCATTGCTAACACCAGCAAGCCTGTTTGCCACAGAATGCTGAGGTGATAAACTGACAGTCTGTAGTAATGTGGGCTTAATTATCAGCAATGTTAAAGAGGTGAAACATATGGATATTCATATATACATCTCGCCATGGCCATGTATTTTGTTTTCAAGAGAAGGGAGATGAACTTTTTGGATTTGAAGCATCATTTGATTTTTTTTTTTTTTTTTTTTTGAGAAAGGGTCTTGCTTTGTCATCCAGTCTGGAGTGTAGTGGTGTGATCTCGGTTCACTGCAACCTCTGCCTCCCCGGTTCAAGCGATTCTTGTGCCTCAGGCTCCCAAGTAACTGAGACTACAGGCACACACAACCACCCCTGGCTAATTTTTGTATTTTTCCTAGGGACAAGGTTTTGTTATGTTGGCCAGGCTGGTCTCGAACTCCTGGCCTTAAATGATCCACCCAGCTCAGCCTCCCAAAGTGCTAGGATACAGGCATGAGCCACCGCCCCCTGGCCGTATCATTTGGTTTTAACATAAGGGGAGTTCTCTGTTTCAGACCTGTACAGTGGAGTGGATCTTGTATAGATTGTCCCGTTAATGACCTTATTTAAGCCCTAAGAATCAGGTTCCTTGGTGCATTTATCAGTAATTATGATAATTCGCTGTTAATGACACTGGATTAGAACTCTAACCCTGGGAAGATGGGCTGTCAAGTCTAGGGAGCTGCCTAACGGCCAGGATTCTTTGGTGCCCACTCCTCTGATGAGTGGATTCTAATGCTGAGAGGGCACGCTTCCAAAAGGAAGGCACATTAGCTTTACATAATGTAAGTGAAATCTGCAGAATCTTTTCAGTAACATG